CACATTTATCTGGATCTCCTCTGTGGACCAACAAAACAACAGCAGATCGGTTACATCTAATTCTGTAGTTTACATAGTTACATAGTCAAAATTAGTGGTTGATGGATATGGATTTGTCAGTGACTGATACCAGTAATGATATTTAGAGAGCAGGGTGGCTGACGGACAATGTAAAATACAAATGAGATGTTTACAAAATATTTATGCAAAATGGTTATCTACCGATGCTGATGCTCTCAAAATGGCCAAAGATTGTCTGATTAATTGGCCAAGCCAATACACTAATCAATTCCTAGTGAAAATATAGGGTGTGTGAATACATGTGTATGTGCACATGTGCGTGTCGGTGCAATAGTGCATGCGTTCATGTTCTGTTGTGTGGCAAGGTGTTGATCTGAAAACGTAACATGATGCTTTGGAGCTCCACTTACCCACTGTAACACACATGTACACACACCCACACACACTATGCACACTGACTCACCTCTCCAAGTCATTAAAAACGGTGCACCATGTAATGCATTCATCATCTGCATTGAAAGAGACCTGCAGTTGTCAAGGCCGGTAAGGGGCACCGTGGAAAAACCGGGTCTGGGTCCAAATGCAGGTAAAACCTTCTTTATTCAAAACCAAAAGGCCAACAAGGCAAAACAAAAACAGGTCTAGGGACGACGAACACCATTACATACACAATACAGCCAGGCCGAGTGGTGAGTGAGAGGAGAAGATATAGTCAGTGACAACGGGGCACAGCTGAGGGTGAGTGTGATGAGTGAGTGACTGAACAGGTGTGTGGAGTTTGGGGAATTGGTGTAATGAGTGAACAGGTGTATGGGGTTTGGGGAATGGGAGTCCGGGAGATGGCGCCCTCTGGAGGAGAGAGGGAGAACACCAGACGCCAGACCCTGACAGCAGTATTCATTACTAACCATACTATACATACAATTCATTCTGTTTGTGCTTCATTCATTAGGCACAATGTTGATAATTTAGTACAAAACCCTGTTTATTGTAGGTTAGTATCACATGGAGAGCATGTTAACCAGTAATCATGGTGTCAAGATCAGGTATGCTTGCAATGGCCCATCAACAAGTTGAAGTGCAACAGACCTTAGTTAAGACAAATGCATTTAAAACATGCTGTATATATACTCTGCATATTTAATAAGCTGTCTGCCCTCACTAAGGTCCATAAGCCAGTATAACCACTCCGTGTTTTCTCTTTTAATCTCATATTTGCAAAAAATCTGAAAAGAGTTGCTGAGGTATAGCCTAAATGGCAAACACCCATTAGCAAAGACCATCAGAAACGATGTGAGGTTTTATGGGACCATGCAGGGTAACAAGATTAAAATACTACAGAAAGCAAAACATGAAATCCTGAGGTGTATAATGGTGCTGACATTCAAGTTAGCAAAATGCCAACAGCCAAGGAAACAAGCAGGCGGAAGAGGAATAGCTCTAATTCATTATGTTGACCTTTAACTGTGAACATTAACATCTTTCTCTCTGTCTGGCCATGTGTACAATTCTTCTCCATAAAAGTGCATGCGGCCCTGAACTGTCTTTAAAGACTCTGAGCTCTAAAACTTACTGCTCATTAGAAATGTAGCACAGGGTTTAGCATTTGTATTCTAGACATATTGGGGCCATTATGCTTAAATATGGGATGCAAAGTCTGTGTTGTCAATCCAATTATTGATTGTTCCTAGTAGTGGAAAAGCCAAATAATTTTGCTCTCAGCTACTAAAAAAAAAAAAAGTGTATTACTCAGCTCTTTTTTCAAAAAGAAAAGAAAAAACGTGCTAAGAATAATTTTCATTTTTGGATGGCATTACATACCTTTCCTCTACAACCACCTGACTCCATTAATTCATCTAATGCCAATTTTTCATAATCCATAATTCATAATCAACTCCTGATAGATAAAATCCAATTTTTCTTGCTGAATGTTTGTTTTACTCAGAAATAGGATGGAAAAAAGTAAAATGTGGTAAGTTAAACATGATTTCCCAAAGTAAAAATCAGTTCAATAGAATGATGTGAAAATATATGGAAAGGCAAAAACATTCTGTCAATTCCATGGGATCAATCATGACATCCACATAAATGCTCAGACTGTAAAAATCAAAGTGATCCTCTGTCCTATACACACAGAGTTATTATGACTCAAACCGCAGTCGTCTCTCTTTGTGAACGTGTTACAGTAACAGATGGTTCAGTCAGAGATCTGGAGGGACTGATGCAGAACACTAATTAGAGAACAGCGAGGATGTTCACAGAGCAGAACATTTAGCTTCTGTTATTAACCTGGTCATGAGAGAAGAGCCAGGTTATTTAGATCTAATTACCTAATGACTTGATAAACAATACAACACTACTGCTCTCTCCTAAAGCCAGTTCTAAAAAAGAATAGAAAGCTGTGCCATTATTCACTTTCCATCATGTTTCAAACCCACAAGATGATATTTTCAATGGAACACAAAAGGATATGTTTTTGAAGAATCTTGATGCAGCTTGTTCCATATGTAAAATCAAAACAACAGCATATGATTTTGGAACAACATGAGTGCGTGAAAAAAAAGACAATTTGGTTACATATTCCAGCTAGATTGAGCTGAATGATTCAGATATCCGTGACATAAGAGATTATTACAGCATGCTTTTATTTGCAACTCTTCTGCATGCAGAGTTCATAATTTGTAATTGAATATAGACCTAGTATTTTTAAGCAGTAATAACAGTAGTGACACTCAAAAAAAATTTGCATTGTTCTCCTGTGTGACCTTTATTTGAATTAGCCCAGGACAGTAAATATGCAAATAAAACCGTCCAGATATCCATCAGTAAGAGCGGCTGGGTGGAGGGCTAAATTATCTCAGTGCAGATGTGTTCTGATACAGGAGAACACAGAACTGCCATCCTGTTAATGAAACTGCATATGCCAAAACATAACCAGACCTGAGAGCGTTGTATATTATACTAATTATTTTAAAAATGTATGAACTCTTAGAATGACATGCTTCAAGTAGAACCAAATAGAAAAGGGTTTTTACAGACTGATGCAATAAAGAAGTACATATCAGTGTGCAACATATGTATCACAAATCTTCTCTGAAAAATACTGCAATGCTGAGGGTCTCAGAGACCCCAGGCATTAAAAATGAATGAATGAAAGAAATTTTCTCATGCTAAGATTTTCAGATGGTGCATTGTCAGCAAAATAAATACAATGTGTTTTTGGTGGAGTCAGCCTGACCCAACACAAGCTTTACAGATGTTACTATATTAGATATTTTTGAAAAGAACATGGCTAGAATCTCAATAACAACTGTCTACTGGAATTTGACGTAGTCAACAAATGTGTGACCCTGGAGCACAAAAGCAGTCATAAATAACACGGGTGTATTTGTAGCAATAGCCAACAATACATTGTATGGGTAAAAATTATAAATGTTTCTTTTATGCCAAAAATAATCATTAGGATATTAAGTAAAGATCATGTTCCAGGAAAATATTTTGTAAATTTCCTACTGTAGATATATCAAAACTTAATTATTGATGAGTAATATGCATTGCTAAGAACATCATTTGGACAACTTTAAAGATGATTTTCTCAATATTTAGATTTTTTTGCACCCTCAGATTCCAGATTTTCTAATAGTTGTATCTCAGCCAAATATTGTCCTATCCTAACAAACCATACATCAATGGAAAGCTGATTCGGGTTTCAGGTGATGTATAAATCTCAATAAAAAAAAAATGGACCCTTATGACTGGTTTTGTGGTCCAGGTTCCCATATTACCAAAAAAATCTCTATTATTATTTACATACACCATTTGGGGTCTGGAAATGTTAAACTAAAATAGTTTAGAAAATAAATGCATGAATAATTATTTAAAATATATATTGCTCATGAATAATTCACGCATCACTCACCCTCGTGCCACCAGCAGTCTGAGCGCATCCAGGTTGCCGTGGTGCGCGGCCCAGAGCGTCGGCGTCATCCCATCCTCATCCGGCGCGTTCAGATCTTTACGCGTCGCGTCTTTCAGCAGGTGCAGGTGACCGTCTCGAGCCGCCCGGTGGTATTTGTCGTCCATGGCGGCCGCGACTGACCCCTCTATCCCGGCTCACGGGCGCTCATTTGGCGTGCGCTCCTGGCGTCTCCACTCGAGGGACTGCAAGCATGCTCGCGCGGTTGCTATGGGAGGAGTCCTGGATTGACCACGCCCACTTCCAGTCAGCGCACACCTGACAGATGAGAACTCGGTGACACATTCAGGTAAAATCACTCTCTGTTACAAGTACATTCCCAGAATGATAAATATTGATGCAGGGTATGATGTAATGATTTGACGCGAATGGCAATTACATTTAGATAAAAACTAACAAAATGACTAAATGAACACTGTAAATAGGCTAGTTATACGTTGCAGTGTTGAAAATAGGTACTTCCAGTATTTATTCAATAATATATATATACATATATAAATATTATCTATTTTATATTTTCATCCAGCCTTTAAACTTCTATTATTCTTTGATGCGTAATGTATTCTCCTCCCTGTAGCTGAGAAACTGAATACACAACAAACATTAAACTAATCCAGTCTAAACAGAGCCAAACCCTGCTGTGACCTCAGCACAACCGCATCCCAGCAGATCTGATCAAATATCATCATGGGAAGCCTGGACTTGTCATTCTCACATCGAAGACTATTAAAGGTCTATTGCAAGTGCATGTTATTTTAACTTCATTAACTTTAATCAAAATGTTATAATTGTTATAATTTGAGGATGACATGTCAAATCACTTATTTCTCCATGTCAAGCGCAAGCATAACTAGAATCACTTTTTATCATTCAATCAATGTATGATACATTAAACAAAGTCTCATCCTGCATTTTCCTAATTAAATATCCTGTTTTATTCAGAGACAAAATATTGCCTATTCAGAATATGCAGCATTTCATGTTGATTTTAACAGGTTTCTGACATATATTGTCATTGTTTTGGATGGCATTCAAGAGTTTTTAATAGTATTTCTGTACATGCAGCATTTCCAGCTTTTATAGGATTACGTTTTTGCATCCGTTTATATACAGAGTTCATTCACACCCCTCCACACAGAACACTATTTCAGTAAAAAAACAAAAAACCCCCCCAAAAAAACCCAGTATAAGCACACACTCATCTCACTGCTCACAAGGTCAGAGACCTGAGGGTCATGTGTCCATCCTCATGGATTTGGATGAACTCAGAAGAAAATGAAACAATGTATCAGAAATAACACAAGTATTTCACTGGGCAGTTTAAATTCATTCATTTATATATTTACAACAAAAAAAAGAAGGTCAGAAAAACAAAACCGAATTTACTTTTTAGAGAGAAAGTGTAAATTTGAATTAAATCTTTGTGAAAGTGTCGGTTTGGTAGAAATTGAGTCAGTTTTGTTGAGTTGGTTCTCTCGGTGTCATTAAATTCTCTGGATCTCAAACAGCTTGACATCAGTGTCGTACCAAACAGGAGGATCCACGTTACTAAAACAAGAAGAAAAAAAAGCATCTTTAATCAGGTTTTATGAGATTTTTGCAGATTTCAACACATAAATACATACAAAACAACACATTGATCAAGTCCTAATAAAAGGTATAATATATGTGACTTTCTATGCCGAGTGTAATTTTGAGTGTAGCTCCCACATTGTCCCGTAGAGGAAGACAGAGCGCAGGACTCACCGTAAGTAGATGATGCCCCACATGTATGTGCGGAACCACAGAGCCGTGCCCTCATTGGCCTGGTACTTGCGGATGAGGATGGGATGAGGAACCGGCAGCAACCCCACCAGAGTCCCGTGCTGCAGAAACTTCAGGATCTCAGACTCGTCCGTCAAACCTCTACAAGAACAGCAAGAGCATCCTCACTCAGTCAGGTCAAACCGCAAAGCGTAATACACATGATTCAGGGTTCAAAACCACACCAAAAATCTGGCATTTAAAATTTAGACCAAATTAAATGAAAACTTGTTAACCCAAAATCTGTTAAAATCAACATGACAGAATGTTGCATGATTTCTAATAATGCAACATTATTGTTTCTCTGAAAAAAATGAAACAAGTATTAACTACTGCAACAATGGGCAATACATTTGTTACAGTATTTATTAATCTTTGTTAACATTAGTAAATAAAAACAATTATTAATTGTTATAACATATATAATGTTCTCTGATTGACTTATTGTATTTGTAAATGGTGAAATTAGCATCAACTAAGATTAATCAATGCTTTAGAAATATTATAAGTCTTTGTTTATGTTAATTAACACAGTTAATGAAACTAATGGAACGTTTATGTAAAGTGTTACTGATAAACTCTTTCAGTGAGTGAATGATGTTGTATGTGTGTGTCTCACTTGTCTATGCAGATTTTCTCCACCTGAGGCACCAGCACCTGCAGGAGTCTCATTATAGTCTGCAGAGGGAGTTTACTCTTCCAGGAGAGGACCTGAAAGAGAGCATGCAGAGATTAGATGTGATCAGAATTAATGTTTCGGAGAGGAAAACTCATATGCATTTTTTTTTTTCTGAAAAATTTCTCACAAATATTGCAGTGTATATGAGGTCCTCACAAGCTTTGGTTTATAATTTAAGGGTTTTATGACTGACCCAGTCTGGAGTAGGAGCCCAGTCCGATGAAGACGACACGTGTTTCGGACTTCCATCACAATCCTCTTTTTCAGACTTCTAAGGAATTAAAAAATGAAAAACATTTTATTGATATAAACAGAACAAAGTAACACAGATTAAATGTCAGGGTCATCAGTGATGCTGTACCTTGTCATCTTCACCAGAGGTCGGCTCCGTGTCTCTGATTTGTGTCTCAGAGCTGTGATCTGATTGGCTGTGGGTCGAGTCCCTCTGCTGCAGTAAGAGTGTCGCTCCGTCCTCAGAAACCTGTGATGTTTCTGTTAGTTTATCAATGCCTACAACATAAACCAACTATTTATATATTTTTTAATGCAATATTTTTTTTACCGTCAGCAGCAAGGCAATTTTTATGGCGAGAACAAGGTGAATATCAAAAGTCAAACATTCTTTTGGATAAAGAAATCATCCGCCTCAGTTGCATGCATATGTTTTTTTTGAATGCACATTTTATTATTTTATGCACTGGATACATCATTTCCATCCAGCTTTTATTTGACATATCTCAAAATTTGCATAAAAATGTGGATGGAAACAGCTACTGGACTCTTAATAGTCAACATACTGAGGCGGGATAGTGCAACCTTGTATGCTGAAGTGGTTTACGTACGTGGCATGTCCTTCAAGCTTGCGTTCAGAGTGCCTGTTTGAACCGGTGTGGTTTTATACGGTCCTTCACTACAGGCAGTGTTGTATGGGTTGCTGGTCTCCGTGAAGACGGCATTATGGGTGTTGTTGCTCCTGCTTTTCTTCTGCAGGGCTTTCTGGATCGAGATGACGTCTGTAGGCAGGTTAGCCAGCTGGTGAAAGAGGTTGCGTTTGCGAATGATGCCGTACACCAGGTTAAAGTTACCTGATTTTTGGAGACAGGAGAATACAAATGCTTATAAAAATGACAATAAACAACTGAGTTGCAAAGACCAAAATTGTAGGATTGTATACCAAGGTCTGCCACAGAAGTCATGTTTTATGGTAAAATGATTTGCATTCAAATAAACAGACTTTTGCTGCTTCATATTTTATTAGTCATTTCAATGAAGAACTGCCACCACGACTGTGGCGACTGCATTTACAGCAGTGATGAAGCTTCAAAAGCAACTTACCATCGAACTGGTACTGAATGATGTTGTTAAAAACTTCAAGCAAAAAGAAAACCAGGTGATGGTTAACAGGTGAGCAGAACAGAAACCAGGGGCTTGAGAAAACTTCCAGCAGGTGCAGTAGTTTGTTGGCTGCTACCATAGACAGACTTTTCAGGTAAGGAGACACTGAAAAAACAACAGCAATGATTCATCAGGAAGTGAAAACAATCTCTCAAAACTTATGTACTTTTTAACCTTGCTTACCATTGACTATAATAGTGAGCAGACAGTCATACAGGGGTTGCAGTCGCGGATGTCCACTGGTGATGATTTTATGGAAAACCTGTCGATCAAAAAAAATATATATATATTTGCATTTTAATGCTCATGCAAATCTTATTAGCTTATATTTCCGGGAATGCATGAACTGAAAAGATGCAACGTAAGTTGCTTTGGATAAAAACATCTGCCAAATGCATAAATGCAAATATGCATTAAGGATGCATGTTTAATCAATTGTGGTGCACAAAGTTTTAATATGCAGCTGTGTGAGTGAGATTGGAGAGCTTTAGAAAATTGGAAGACTTCAATAACATTTTGGGTCTGTTCTTTACAAAAAGACTTCAAAAGACATGCAATATTGCACACAAGTCATATGGACTACTTTTATTTAATTTTGTTTTTGGCTTTTAAATCTCCATCATCTCCAATATGATGTGACAAAATCTGTGTTCATCTCACCACTATCAGCAGGTCAGCATGAGTCCCAGCAAACACCGAAATATCCATTGGCACTCGCACAAAGTATGGTTTATTCAGACGCACCCCAAAATTCCTCTCTCCACTTAACAGCAACAAGATGAACATGCCGATATGCACCAGACCGACACGTGCTGCAAACAGATGCATATACACACTAACACATATAGCTATTATCACATCCACTTCATAATAAAACAGCATTAAAAATGGGCAATAAACTGAATTAAGATGAGAAAAGTACAGGAAAATTATTTGAAAATATGAAAAATTTTAACAAAAAAAATCCCTCAAAGTACAGTAAAATATATAGGTTAAAATATATGGGTGAATTTCTTATGTATGTGTAACACTGAATGCTTCAGATACTCACACTGATTGGCACGAGCGTCAGTGAGATAGAATAGAATTGGTACCATAATATCCAGCACATCACTGCTCTTCAACACACAGAACAGGAACTTCTGAAATTCAGAGATGAAGAAACATCACAGTGTGCAGTTATTTTTCGACCAGTTACATAAGGTTTGTATAAGTAAAATAGTAATTAAAAAACAATTATTTAGTATTAAATAGAATAGAATAAGTATTTTATTTCAGATTTTATAAAAATAAATAAATAAATAAAAAAAAACTCAACAATAAATAAAATAAAATAACACAAGGTGGCACCTTGTTGAGGTCACAGAGTTTCCAGAAAAGCACCAGCAGCTCCTGATGAAACTGGATTTTCTTGCAGGAATGGGGCAGGTATGTCTGCAGCAGGGGGTTATTGAGCAGCCGGCCGATTCCTTGCAAGATAAAATGAAAATCCTGCATGCAAAAAATATATGCATTTAGAAAAATATAGCTAGGTATTATTATAAAGATAATATGTGAGGATACTGATCATTTACAGTGTTTAATAGTCTAATACATGTGTAAGGTAGAAGCTGAGGGCTGTTGCAGTTGATTTGGGATGGTTGTGGAGTGTTTGTGTCTCACCTCTTCTCTATGAATTCGAGACAGGTAGTTTACAAACAGGTTTTCGCCTCTCGTTGCCTGAAACATATCATGAGGAAAAATCTGATACTCAAGCTGAGCGTTAGAAATACTGAACTGTCATAATACTGAACACAGGCTCTCTTACAAAACCTAGTGCCCTGCTTAGACAACATTCTTGGCAATCAAAGACATGCACTGTTCCTGTTTCAAATGTACTAAAATTATGCTGCATATTTCTCACACAAGATGTTGGATGCCATTTAAGGAAATGTAAGTCACTGTTTTATTCAGCACGGAATCTAACTAAGAGTATGTTTGCCACTATTTGTATCTACAATGCATTATTTGTGCTTACAGTATCATGCATGTTTCACTGCATGCTTAATTCGTTGGGAGGCATTCAGTTATCAACTTGCATTTTCAAAAAAAAAAGTATTAAAATAAATTTTTGAAAGTCATCATAGTTGACATCACTTTGGATTGTGGGATATTGTAATCTAGACAGTGTTTTTACTAATGTATTTCACACATACAGAAAATTCACATACTATACATAACATACAAATTTCATACACGCATACTAGTATCCCATCTAATAGGGAATGCTCTAAGAACACTGCAGAAAAAAATTTCATAACTTAATGGAAACATCAGCAAAATGTTCAAATAGCTTTAAAATATTCAAAACGTTCATTCTTTTTAAATGTTCAGAAACGTTTTTGTTACTAATGAAAACGTTAGCAAAACATTCAAATAATGTTTTTAAAACATTCTAAACTTGATATTATTATTAATGTTTATAATTTAAAGGAAACGCAGGCAAAATGTTTGAATAACATATTTGTAACATTCAAAATGTTTAGTTTTTTTAAATGTTCAGAGAACATTCAGAAATAATGTTTTCATAACTTAACACAAGAAAAACATCATGTATTTTTGTTAGTGTTGCGTGTCCTGTTACCTGGCATCCTTCAGCAGTTGTGTTCTTCTTGTAATCAGCAGAGCAGGTGTCAGTATTGGTGCTCAGGTTCGTACTGGTGTTTGAGTTATCAACGAGCTCCTGCTCCAGTGAAACGATCAGTGTCTGCAGCGCCAGCTCTGCTAGAACCCCGCGCTGGTCAGAGAACATCAGGTGATTGTACGGGATGCCGTACCCGACAGGATCATACGCACATACCACGTTAAGAAGAGAGGTGAAGAGCGGCAGGGCATGTCTGACAGAGAGAGAGCAAACCTTAATTGCTGCATTACCAACAAATAATAACAAATGAGCGTATATGCATCACCTGTTTTCTCTAGAGCAAAAGAACGAGACCCAGGGGTTGAGTGTGTGCGTGTCAGATGGAGACTGGTACATTTCTTCTGAGAAACA